TGTCTGTGGGTCTATGGGTCTGGATCTGTGTCTGTGTCTGTGTCTGTGTCTCTGTATATATATATATATATATACATGGTGGGGACTGGGCTAGGGAGACAACACTTGGGCTCAAACGTGAGTCATAGGGGAGTTGTGTTCTTGTGGGTGTATTTGTATTCTGGCTATGGTTCTATTGTTATGAGTGTATTGATATTAATCAAGGACCATAGACCTTAATAAAAGAAGAGCACTCAGGTGTGTGAAGAACCACTTACCTACCCACACCGCACACAACGTTTGGGTTGTGCTCCCCTACTATAAACCTAGTCACCTCTACTATAAACCTAGTCACCTCCCCACAAGTATAGCTCATTCGCACGCCCATGTACACGATCACTTGGCGAAGTGTTTCTAATCCGCCCCGCACCCCCGGAAGGGTATCTTCCTCAAGCACGAGAACAAACCGATGGATGCACTAGCGCTGTCTCTATACCACATACATGTCGATTGCCAGCCAGGCATGGCCTGGTCAGTATGATGGCTGCAGTACGCACAGGCAACGCTTGGTTTGCCTGTGCCTGCAGGGGCTATTCTTATTAGTACACTCAGGGCCGTTGTATTCTACTTGCGGACACTACATAGTTTATGTGCAGGAGTCCTATATCATCTCTTTATGATTCGGTTTGGATTGATGATCAATACACTTCAGTGACTTCCAGCTAGCTCAGGCCATGGGCCTCCATGCCGACCCTGCTTCAGAAGAAGCGCGATGGTGTGGGATAGCTCGTAGTGGTAGTAGTAGTAGTAGTATATATATATATATATATATATCCCCATACATGCCCCCAGACTGTCTTATGGGTGTACCACACTCGTCCAGCCCATCTCATGACTTCATCTTCCGCTGTCTTGGGCACCTGCGTTGCCTCACAGAGCCATGCGAGACCTTGGCCTACTCAGTGCTGATCCCGTGAGGGGAGTGGCCCCCACACCCATAGACGCACTGTGTGGGCAGCTTCAGGCGAAACTGTCGTACAAGCATGGCGAGAGGGATATGGTATTGCTTCAACACGAGTTCGAGATCGAGACGGCGTCTGGGTCCAGGGTAGGTGTATTTGTGAACCCGGTTTGTTTGGTGTTGTGTTGTGTGTTGTGTGTAGTTGCTGATGTGTGCACTATCCTAGTTGTTATATGAGGTACGTGGTGTGTTGTTTGGTGTGTTGTGTTGTGTTGTATTGTGTTGTGTTGTGTGTTGTGTTATGTTGTGTGTAGGTACTGATGTGTGTTCTATCCTGGTTGGAATGAGAGGTATGTGTTGTTTTGTGTTGTGTTGTGTTGTGTTGTGTGTGCACTATCCTGGTTGTTTTATGAGGTACGTGGTGTGTTGTGTGTTGTGTTGTGTTGTGTGTTGTGTGTCATTGTTAAAGTGTGTTCTATCCTGGTTGGAATGAGAGGTGTGTGTTATTTGTGTTATGTGTTGTGTGTCATTGTTGATATGTGTACTATCCTGGTTGGAATGAAAGGTATGTGGTGTGCTGTGTGTTGTATTCCGTATGTAGTACGACAGATACTTCAACTCATCAGACGTGTCACACGGCCCTTGCTTTATATCTGGACTTCTCGAAGTGTTGCTATGCCGAAAAAGTACGTCTGCGATTCGACCCTGTCACTGCGGTAGAAACCGTAACCTTACGTAGAAACCGTAGCCTTACGTAGAAATCGTAGTTTTAGGTAGAAACCTTGGTATTGATGGTCTTTTGAACCCTCCTGTATTGACAATAGGAGAGGCACACGTCGAGTCTTGTCAGCTACGGCGACGGTTTTGGTATGGGCGATTCAGCCATGGCCAAGACGGTGGGCTTCCCGGTGGCCATGGCAACACAACTGATCCTGGATAAGCAGATCGACCGCACGGGTGTGGTCAAGCCCACCACAGAAGACTTCTACACGCCCATACTCGCCGAACTAGAGGCCCGAGGACTGCCGGTAATTGAGAGCTGAGGTGCGTCGTAGAGCCCTATGGACGCTGAGGTGCACTCGACCACAGTGTAGTTCATTGCGGGGCGGGTTTAGGGTATCAGGGTATGCCCTAGACTACTCGGAGGCTCATAGTCAACTGAAGTAATTAGCAGAAGCACTGTACATAGCCCTACTTTTGGGTTTGGGGTGGGTTAGTAGAGGTGTTGTAGAGACGCCTAGCAGACCCACACGACCTGCGTTGCTGTGGCTGGGCGCGAGCTTTTCATTTGTACTGGTATACACGTATATGTAGAAATAAATATATATATATGACCGCATCACGGTATTCCCAGTCTCGCATGTAAAACGTACGCGTACATGTCCTGTTGAAACTATCGTCAACGCCATCCGTACAGGCAGCCAACCGACAGACCTGAAACCGTTTCTAATAGTGCTTCTGTGCATAGCAACAGTCTCTCTTTACCGTGCACGGCACTAGTCCATAGGTGTATGCAACGCATTCACTCGCAGTGAAGTTTGTTTTCTTCGTCTTCTTCTCCAGTCGCATTTGCCTCAAAACAGAATAACTCGAAAGGACCTTCAGGAAGATATTGTAAACTTGCGTTGAGTGAACACTCCTAGTACTTACTTGTGTAGCACTTGTCCGAACTTCGGCTTGTTGTCACGAGGCTTATATGGGTACACACATTCGTGCGACTGTCTTCACAGTCAGTATATAGTTTATACGTTGTAACCTTATTCTTGCTGTTGCCTTCACAGTCGGTATATAGTATATACGCTGCAACCTTATTCGTGCTGTCGCTACGGATTCGCTACACATATACCGCCACCAAATCAGTACTACACACATGTCGAGAGCAGACTATAATAAACTCAGAAAAAGATTGGGCTACTTTGTATGTAACTTCAGGAGAAGAGAGAGGGCTGGTTAAGATTGGGTTACTTTGTATATAACTTCAGGAGAAGAGAGAGGGCTGGTTAAAATTGGGCTACTTTGTACGTAACTTTAGGAGAAGAGAGAGGGCTGCTTAGGATTGGGTTACTTTGTATGTAACTATAGGAGAAGAGAGAGGGCTGGTTTAGATTGGGTTACTTTGTATGTAGCTATAGGAGAAGAGAGAGGGCTGGTTTAGATTGGGTTACTTTGTATGTAACTTTAGCAGAAGAGAGAGGGCTGGTTAAGATTGTTTTGTATGTAACTTCAGGAGAAGAGAGAGGGCTGGTTTGCGTGAACCGCCAACTGGCAAACGGCTCCTGGGTGGTAGGCACCACACGCGTGATTTCAACAGAACGTACAACATCAATCACACTGAAACTGCATTCTCCCACAAGACCGCGTCTCACTTGAGGATACATTTCTGCGAAAGAAATTGAGATGGTGCCCACACCGTGAGTATAGATTAGATTTGGAGATCTAGATCAACTAGAGTGACCCATTCCGATTGGTGCCCACACCGTGAGTATTTATAGATCAGATTTGGAGATCTAGATCAACTAGAGTGGCCCATTCCGATAGTCTGTTCAACCGCACATGGGTTCACATTCTACAGAAGTCGGGCGAGATCATACGCATTATTTTATGAGTGAATCAGAGACGACTCTTACATCACATATGCGTGCAATGCAAGAACTATCCTGAGTATAACTGCTTTTTGTATACCATTCGGTTTATAGCTGCAACTGTTTAAAAAATAATCGGTCTTCGTTCGTGCGCAGAGTCGAGATGATTTTGTTGCTATTTTGTCCCAGCTGAAACCCCTTCTCCAATACTCTTATCATTCCGCATTGCTGAGACGGCGTTTACCGTTTCATTGGATGCCCATGGTTTTCCTGTGCCACACAATCCACTTGCCTCGGAGTACAGTTTAATTACACACCACCTAGAGGTGCTTAAGAGGATAATCGATCACTGTAACATGCAATCAAGCACGTTATTTGGCGCATTCGATAGACTTTCACGGAGACACCCACATAGTCTACCTAACTAACTTATTGTATAGCAGAAACCAACTAGCTCGCAGATCACACAATAATCCACAACAGCAAGGAATGTACCTCTTCATTCGCTTCTTCAGCAGTTGTAGCTATGAGACTGCTCCAGTACTCGGGCGCTTCAGTTGAAAGATGTCTAACTAATCCTCACCTGTGGACCGCAGTGGTACTTTAATCCCAATCCCTTCCGCCGAACCCATTCCACCAATACTGAAGGCGAATCTATATTCGTCAGAGCAGCTAAATAAAGCCACAGGAAGCCCGCGCTAAATATGAATTGTTCGCTACTACTTCATACGAACCGTTCAGGACGATGTGCAATGACATTCAATATGCATCGAACACATATTGAACACGAGGCTAATACGGTCCTTCCTGACGAAATAAATTGCATACACACCCTATATGCTTTTGGCCTATTAACCACAAGTCTCTACTGAGCGTATCGGTTTTTGCTATAGTGTACTATTCATATGCGAGTGCCGCGGCAATCGTCACCCCAAACACGCGATTTCGCAGTCCGGCAACCACGCCAACAGCTGATAAAGCCAACACAATTCTTCATGGCAACTATATGCATGTACATAAGCATATCGATCACAAGCCCCTACTACTCATATTGGTCTTCGACATGGTATATACTCCATACCAAGCATGTATGCATATCAATCATAAGTTCTTATTGAACGTATTGGTCGTGGATATAGTGTACACTCCGTGTGCCAGTGCTGCGGTGATTGTCACCCCAAACACGCCGTTTCGCAGACCACGTGGCTGGTCACGCATGCCAACAGCAATTAACGCCAACATCGGTGTCCACACAAGTGGTGCTAGTAGCGTATAATTTGGCTCACGGGGTCCTGTATGGCCAGTAGTAGGGTGTGTAGCTATCGCGCTCATCTTCTTGTTTGGGTGTGTGTATTTAAGCTATCCAGTACATACTTGGTGTATGATGTAAATCGGCCTTGGGAATTTTCTACGTACTCGGGAGATGGCGCAGACTGATCTTATATCCGCATATTCAGCTTGTGTCAAGATTTGTCTTTGTGTACAACAATACTATAATACTACTACAAATATTTAATAGTGCTTCAGATACCGTTGGCCAGTGGATTACAACTTATAAATACAATCTCATAAATCACATTATCACATCAAATGGAAATGCGAAAGCTTCGATTGTTCCACGACCTACGGACGTTAAGTCCGTTGCGGCTTCTTTATTTTCTCTCTACTAGAGAGAGACGACCATAGCCTTCTATTGTCCGTTCTCCCTAATTACTAGCTATTTACTTTTAATCTAGTAGGAGAAGCCGAGAAGCAGTCATGAATCACGTGATTGTTCTGTGAGGATTCTATTTTTAGTAAACTTACAAAACAACTGCTCTAAAATAATAATATATCATACGTACAGTCGTTCATGTCGTAAATACATAGAACCCTCTAAATGTATAATTTTATGTATTTATATTCTACATGACATTGGCGAAAGGTTTTTTGTCGTGGAGGCATTTGAAGCGAGCCCTCTCTTTCTACTAGAGAGAGCACAGACTACATACTAGAAAGTAGAGAAGAAATACTCACTAAGTGTCTTATTTTAAAAAGCTATGCGTTTAAAAGCCACATGTTGAATATCGGCACTATGGTGGTGTGAACACCTATAAATACGAAAAAATGTATCGAACAGATTATGTATTTTCACTCTACAGAAACTACAGGACTCAGAAATATCATAACCGCGAGCGATAGGCTAGAATATTGGATGGATAGATATGGATATATAGATAATTATCCTTTAAATAGTTAGATAGTTAGATAGATGGCTGGATGGATGGATGGATAGTTGAACAGATCGATAGAAGTATAGAGTGATGACAGAATTAAGGGAGGAGGGAAGGAGGGAAGAAGGTATGGGTGGATAGATAGATAGACAGGTAGATCATATATATATATATATATC